AATTTGACATTTTGTATGATCTGCTCTCACATGTGTATGGGCCCTGCATGGGTCCTACGTGAATATAAAATGCAAAAAAATCCCCCCACCCACCCCCAACTGTGAGTATATATTACTCAGGGTGTCAAATTCTTTCTGAGACCCTAGCATGATTGTTATAGTCAATTCCCCGTTTGATAATAATCATTTTCAAACTTTTTTTCTACATATTTATTTTCAACCTCACATTCAAATAATAAAATATTCAACATACAAATTCAAAAAATTTCTCTACTTTTTAACCATATTCTCCTAAATTTTATTTTCCACAATTAATAGTTGTCAAACGGGGCTAAATTATACAAGTACATTTATCCATTACATCCCTACACTATTTTAGCATAGGTTTACATTAATAAATAATTAATTATTTTGTCTAGAAGCCCACAACAGCTAACTATGAGTTAATATGGCATTATTCTAAAGTCGACTGTACCACATTTACATCATAAATGTCGAAGTAAATAATATTACAGAATACAATATAAAGTATGCTGTACAAAAAGAAACTGCAGCGATAATAATATTTTGTTATTTCAGAAACCCACAAACAGGAAATAAAACTTCAGAAAATAACAATGGCTAAAAACGAACAGATATTTTGCAAATCGATGCCTATGTATTATACAGCGTCCTTAACACAAATTCGCCCCTTACCGTAGATGCTTGAGGATTCTCACGAACGTCTGGTACAACAGTAAACCGGTAAAAATCGAGCACTTCGTTTTTACTTCGATGAACTGAATTTCTGCCAGAATACTACCACCAAGACTTAGGCCCTAATGGAGAATTTAAAAGGGGATTCTTTGTTAAAAGACCTAGTCAAACAAAGTAGTTGGAAAAAAGACCCATTCTCATTGTTTATTGGTCAAATGGCATCAATTAAAAAATATAATATTAAAAAGTTGGAAAGAGGAACTGAATTTCCGTGGGTTTGGAATGAGGAAAAATTGATTGTATAAGTAAGCTCTAATGAAGAATTAACAAGTTGAGAGTTATTGGTATTACAGCCTTTAACACCACCAGAAAGCCTGTTAAATTTCTCCATTAACACAAACATTATCATATGAGTTTCAGGAGTTATGAGAATTTGGAAGGTTTTATTTGGAAAAAATAATAAAAACTTAAGGAAATAAATGCACAACGTGGACCATCCAAATGAGCCAATTTTTGGACTGTCTGGTCACACAAGTCATGCCCGTACATAAATTCAAGTTCCAAAGCTTATCATATGAGTTTCATGACTTAAGAGAATTTAGAAGGTTTTATTTGGAGAAAATAATAAAAATTTATAGGAAATAAATGCAAATCGTGGCCTATCCGAAGGGGTCAATTTTTGGAATGTTCGGTCCAACATTCACGCAAGTCGTGCCCGCACATAAATTCAAGTTCCAAAGCTTATCATATGAGTTTCATGAGTTAAGAGAATTTGGAAGGTTTTATTTGGAGAAAATAATAAAAACTTATAGGAAAGAAATGCAAATGGATCATCCAAAGGGGCCAATTTAGATTGTTTGGTCCGACATTGACGCAAGTCGTGCATGCACACAAATTCAAGTTCCAAAACTCAATTTCGATCATTGATTTGCATCCCTCTGATTGCGCACGTGGAGAGAGTATTTATACCACACATGATTACACACTTCTAAAGTGTAATAATATATAAAATGGTTGTGGCCTTTATCATTTTTTTTATGTGAGACAACTTGAATTAGTTTCCGTTCAACACAACAAAACATCTTCAAATCCATCACTTTGAACTTCAATTTCTCATTAAATCGCTTCTCATTTTTGGCAAGTAAATATATGATTTCGATGTCCCAACGGAGAAGAACTCAAATCAACCTTAATCTTTCGAAATGAATGAACAGATCTCACTCAAAATTATGCCAAAAATAGCCCACTAAGTCAATTTTTCCAACAATAACTTACATATTTGTTTACCAGTAGATCATGTGACGAAATTTGATTGAGTCAAAATCTCACTAATTAAATAAAAAAAAATTCTCCACTTTCTTTTTGTCGTTAGCCCACATTACATAAGCACAACCATTTAAGTAGTAAAAAGATTTTGACAATTTTAATTCAATTTGTAGTCACATTATCAGTCTATAAAAGAATTTGTTAATGATGATGTACAACAAGCATTTTCTCCCCAAGATATGTTTTTTCAGTATTTTCCTATACATATAAAACAGTTTATCACTTATCCTTCAAATTCGGTATTTCTGAAGTAAACATTTTACCACGATCATAAGAACCAAAAAAAATATATGGTAGGTATTAACAGCACAAATTACTGTACTTAATTTTGTCTCAAACATATATATAGAAATTGTTTATAATATAAAAATAATAACATAAAGCTATGACGGAAAATGAAGTGAACTAAATTTATAGCCGCATGCCTGCATCCTTGTCCATTCCTTGTCCCTACAACAGACTTGCTGGCTCCTTGCACAAGTTTTGCATAGTCGGGTTAAGCTTTGAAGCCAAGCAACGATGGGGCAAGCCTTAGCAAAGGTTGTAAAGTATTGGGATGAAACTTTCTTGCAAATAGGAAGCAAATCGATCTCATCCCACCATTGTAACTACAGTTAAATCCATGGCGAATTCGAACTAAAAACTCTTCTGTAATATCATTTCTCGTAAACATAGTGGGGTGTGAGCCACCTCCAGACCAATCAGTCCATGTAATTGTCGAATTCGATGTTAAATCAGGACAAATTTTAGTCACGAGAGTTGGCAAATAATGCTCATCCATGTAGCATGGTGGCATACAATGGTTTCTGAAAATAGGGTAATATGTTATGTCGGATACTATCTCGATGGCGAGTTTTCTATTAACTTCGAACCATTGGGAGCCCTTTCGCCAATCGAATAATGTAATGGAAGGTGACATTCGCTTGTTATATCGACCACGGCCTATGGGTCGAGGATCATCGAAAGAACTAAGGAAACTTTGGTTGGAATTTATGAGGTAGTCGTAGATCGTTGTGAAGTTGAATAGAGGAATGCACGCCTCTGAGAGGAGTATAAATCTTTCATTAGAGAAATCGAGTAGGGCATTGGCTAGAAGACGCCTCTCGCCATCAATCATGGTCGATCTTCCCCAATGAACGGGCTGCATTAATGGAAATTGAATGACACTATTAGGAATGGAGGAAAATGAAAATTGTTTGAAAAAATAGTGAAAATGAAACGAAAATGTATAAGCATTCAATTGTTTAACTTTGGAGAGCATTCAATTGTTTAACTTTGGAGTTGGAGGTCTCGTGGTCGTGTCCTCTTCTCTCGTGTACAAATTTGCTTGTATGTATAGACAAGGTACCGGTTATCTATGATTTTTCACGAGTAACAAAAATGAAATCCTAGAAGTCGTCTCGAGGTCGTTAATCTTGCATTTTCTTTGTTTCTTGATCGCATATTGGAGGTCAAGCTTCGAGACCCCATCTAAAGTATTACTTTTATAGTCATTGTCTATTTGTGTATGTGTATACCTTGCTAGGTATCCTACGCTTGTAGAATACCGATGACTTGGGAGGCTCATAGGTGAACTCCGGCGACGTATGAAGGTATATTGAGAAGAGGCCTTCGTGTCCTTTAAAGAACATCTCCCATAGTGGGGCGAGAGGTAATCTTCCCCTAGTTAAGAACATGAATGCAACTTTTGTCGTAAGATTAAAATGATTCTCTCTCATACGAGGTACCATAGATGCTCGCCACATCAATTCTCCGTCACTCATCGAATGCCAAAGACTTTTCGGAGAAATCCAATCCTTTAGCTCATAACTCGTATTCAAACTATTTGATTGATGCACTGATGAAAAATTACAGGGAGAATGCGTGGTTAAGGAAAAAGAATAGAGGGGTGGAAACGCATTGAGACGGGAAAAGTATAAATCTTCGTATAAAGTGAATTTCTTGAGGTGATCATTAATGACGGTTGCTAAAAGTACGACTAGAAATATAAGAGATAAACAGAAGACAAAAGAGGTAGCAATTTGAAAATTTCCATCTCTAACTTCTCTTCGAATGCGTAGAGAGATTTCTCTTGATGACATTTCGATTTTTTTTCAAGAAAGAAACCTCGAGAGTGTGCCTTTTGTAGAGAGCTTTAAGTTATTGTATAGAAGGGCGCTTCAAGTACTCTAAGCTTGCACATGCATGGGAAGTGTTGTCATCAACGAGAAGCATGAAATGGTTGCCGCCATTAATTCTTTAAAAGGAAGAAGGGAGAGAGTGTGTGGGTTGAATTATCATGTGGTTTAGCTATGAAATGCATGTAATTTGCTAGGATCCNGGAGTCAATTGGATAAAGGAAGACGTCAATGGAATCAAATTTAGTCAAAAGATGATCACAAATCAATTTCCAACCGAAAAGTTATGCTCCGATATTTTAGTCTCATATTGAGACCTATTTTTGGCATAGAAAGTGATCGAATTGGAGAATGATGTCTGAATCAAAGTTGTAGCCAGATGAGTTAACTTTCCAACGCATTTTGAATCGCCTCAATCGGACATCGGAATACAGAGTTATGATAAAAATACTGAAAGAAGGTCCAGCTGCCTGTTTAAAACAAGAAATTCCGTTAGTTTTTCCGTTAAACCAAGAAATTCCGTTAGATAGGCACTTTTTATATAGAAAGAGATACTATTAGCATGCTTTGAATAATATTCAATTTTTTTGTCAAATTTTTGCATTTGTTATATATTTTGATTATTTAAAAATATGCCGGATAAATAAGTATTATTTCACCTACTGATGATTTTTTTTTTTTTTGATGAAAACTGTTATCGAAAACAAAATGTGCCGATGAACAATGATTTGATAATAAAAATTCCGACTAAAAGAAGTTATGAACATAAGTGCAAAAAAAATAAGTGATGGTTGTGTTTCTTAATAATGAAATTTATTGAAAATAATCTTCAAATTTTTATTTCCCTCTTCTATATAGTCAAAATTATATTCATTAAAAGATGAACATGAATTATAAAAATATTATATACCTTATATAATTACTGAATAAAAGTTTTGCGTTTTCCTATGAATGCATTAAATAAATAAAATTTGTTTTTTAGATCTAAATATCACGTACTCTACGTACATAATAATACGTTGATTGAAATAAATGACGAAATAAAGTTGAATATTTTGTACGAATTAAAAAATAAACAACGGGGCATAACAAGTGAAAATCATATTGCATACAGTATAAAATTACAAAAAATATATGTTGATTGGAATAAAAAAAGTAAATAAAGTTGAATATTTATGCAAATTAAAGGATGAAACAAAGCTACAATAGAGGGAATTACAAAAATTGGGGATAAGTCCTTAATTTTATTATTTTTAAATATAAATTGGAGCTTTATAAGTGCATAGAAATAAAGTCATGAATAAAATCAAATATAAATAGAAGAAATCTGAGGCCTTGAAGTGAGTCTTCTAATTAAAAAACTTATATTATGCCTTCTTCAATTCGAACTTTATAACTTGTTAATTTTGATCCTCCAACTTTGCAATACACTCAAGTCAGTCTCTGATCTTTTGTGCGTGAGCAAGTTGGTGTTTCAAGTTTCTATGGGTCTTTAGTCCCTCAACTCCATATTTTGTACACTTCAAATTGCCCAATTAAGCTCCAATTGACCTTCTTTTTGCTTAATCCACCACCAAGTCGGGATTTTTACTTACAAACACAATGTATAAATAATTATGTGTAGAAATTCACTCAATAAATTAATATTATACGAGTTTCGAAGTATAGATAAGCGTGTAATATTACTTAACATGTACCCTCAAATTTACTATTTTGCTACTCCCGAGCAAAAATATCTGCTCAACTCTAGTAACACACAAACATGCGAGCAATAAAAGCTCACTTCATGAAATAGCTTGTCGTATTTGCCTCAGTTCAAAAACTTCAACACGCTTCCAAATATTGCCACTAAAATAATTTTATCTCATCCAACGCTCAACCATTTTTTGTGAATAGCCAAACTAGTTAAGATTGCATAAAATATGGGCCTCTTGACTTAGAGGCAATTGAGGTCATATATATGATACTGTATGCAAGTCGCAACATAACACATTGAGCCATGTGCAATCTAATTGACGTCAACATCTTCACAAGGATGACCGTGAGTCAAATCCCCTATTTCCCACCTAAAACAATGCGTGGGAGGTCACATGCACGATGGCTATGAAGTGACATCATGGTGTTTGACATATGAGCCATTGGGATGAGGCCATGTATCAAACATTCGAGAGATTTCAATTTCATTATTTCACTTACAAATACTCACAGTTGGCATCATTTGAAAGTAATTGCAAATTGGTAATTCTCATTCTAGAAATACAAATTTTACTCTTGCATTGCTTCTCCGTACTTTTTTCCCGCACCTAAAAATTTGTCAATTTATTGACTTGAGTGTCAGATCATGTATGATCACGGTCTCCGTCACTTTTGATTGGAGAAACTTGGGGGTTGGGTCTCTAACGTGTGTTCAAGCTTGCAGATAATATATACACGGAGGGAAGAGAGGTGAAGATCTATTGACGTGTTGTATCCCAATCAGATTTAGAAGTCAACATTCTTAATCCTATGAAAGTCTTTCAAAATAAGTTCATGATACGTTTCAAAATTTTAAAGATTATTTATTTTTCTTTTTCTCTAATAAAGTATATAACTTCTTTACAAATTTCAAGGAAATTTTTGACCAAAATAAGCTGCATCTAACAGTTACTCGAAGCCAAATGATAATATCATTTTACATATCACTATTACACTATTTAACTTTAAAATAAAGACACCACATAAAGGTCGAGGTACGACATTGATTTTTGTTTTCCTATCTCAACTTTACTAAAGCTTGATGGATATCAAAGGCTTCCCACTATAAGATTTAAAGCTGGTAATTATTCGATATGACCCTCCCATCATTGCTTGCATTTCCTTTATCTTTTGTGAAGAATGATTTCCTAATGGATTTCCATTACTCTTTTCACTATATAATTATGCTTGCATTTTAGGATTGTCTTGTTTGCCTTTTTGAATAGAACAAGGATGTTCAAAGATGTATATTGTCCACTAAAAGTAGATCCAACATCGAGAGGGGCGGAGGGTGGCTTCCATGCCCAAATTACTTATATACTAGCTTAGTTAAAAATAAAAATAAAATAAATTTACACTACCCTAGTTGGAAACTTTAGCACGCCATGGTCTGCCCTTGAACATAAACTATTGTAAATAAAGACTATCGATTAAATAATTACCTTTTTTTCAACATGTTTTGTTCAAAAACAGTAGACGATAAGAAAAGTACAAAGTGTGCAATGAAGTCTCATTTAGTAGTCAGCCTCCGATATCAGACTAAAGTTGTTCTTCGCTTGAGTCCCTACTACCTCGATAAGAAAAGTACAAAGTGGGCAATGAAGTCTCATTTAGTAGTCAGACTCCGATATCAGACTACAGTTGTTCTTCGCTTGAGTCCCTACTTCCACATTTTTGGTCATATTTATAAATAAAGTTACTTAAAACGAGAGGAGGAACACGAATATAATCGAGTAGGCTAAAATTTAAAGATGGACTAGGTATTGATCTTTTGGTTGAGCTAAATCATTTTAGAGCAATGAATATAACCATTTGATCCAATGATACTCAGAAATATATAGCGAAATACGTATGTAAATGTTCAAGGAGTTTGATCTTTTTAAAAAGATTTAGGCTTGATTAATTATTGCTCTACTTTTAAGAGAATCCATTTTTGGTGTGATGGAAAAGAGCGTTTAGTAAACTTTGTTTTACAGTTAATGTATATTTCAAATAGAAGTGTTACGTGTACATAAATCTATACATAATGGTGTCCCTTATTACACGTGGCATTGGATCCAACCATTAATTCAAATTTCACACTTTCACATCAACAACATAATTTTGTCCACGTCACATTATGGACACTATTATGTACATATATTATGTACATGTAGACTTTTTCTAAAATGTATATCAACAACCAAACATTCAAGTTTCAAGGAGTAAATTATATTTGAAATCTGCAAAATGAGTTTTTTGGTTAATATGTAATGTTGGTTCGATCGACATCAACTTAACTTGTTAAATGTAAATATTCGAGTTATCGCATATTACAACACATGTGAGTCGCATCTTTAAGATGTTAGGTTGTCCTTCAAACTACTAGAGAAGATCGAGTTGTTTCATAGTTGACTTAAAGCATGTTTAGCTAATACGCTCTAACTTAAAAGAAATAAAGCTCACGAGTGTGTGACTAAAAGATGAGCCAAATAAGTATCATTATAATTAGAATAATACTATATAACATGAATTCAGTTTGCATTAGAAG